ACGAATTATCATGAGGATGTTGTGTGGCATTGCAGTCAATGCAATGTGGGCAAAATCTTTGCTAACCATTACCTTTAGCATAGCAATTGATGCAGTGACTTGCCTGGCTAGCTAACACAGATTGTTTGATCGACAACCTCATCGTATACCATTTTGTACAGTACATGAAAAGAATGAAGTTGCATACCTTTGTGTTTCTCCTGTTTTTCATCCACTCTCCTGTTCTTTCGAAACTGGGCACCCGAGGGCTTGGACCTTTTCATCCTTATGCATTTCAAATGGTCCATAACCTAGGCTATTGTTGTTCAGTCTGACAGTAGTCACCAATACACTCCCTTTCCCCATCCCTGTCAATCAAGGATCAAGACTAAACAGGGCTCCAGACAAAAAAAAAGAAAAAAAAAAAAAAAAAAACTTTAGGAGCCGTCGGCTCCTTAGCCTAAATTATTTAGGAGCCAGAAGCTCCTTACATGTCACATGTGAAATAAATGTAAAATATATACAGTGCTGTGAAAAGGTATTTGCCCCCTTCTTAAATTCCTCTTTTATTGCAGATTTCTCTCACTGAATAGTTTCAGATAATCAAATGATAAAGTAGACAAGGAAAACCCAAGCAAACATAAAACATAGTTTTTACGTAATTATTTCATTCATTTGGGGGGGGGGGATTCTGACTTGAGGGCGCTCAGCGTTTTTTCCGCGGAAATAGTTACAGGGAAAATACTTATTCCTATTCTCACCTGGTTTAGGCGGCCATGCCCTGCCCGCGCAGGGCAGAGAAGTAGGAGGACCCATATAAGATCTTGAATAATGCCAATTCAGACTGGAAAATGACACGCCCCCCCCACGAAAACTTGATGGCCCAGTAATGTTTTTCCCCCGAGTTACGTTACCTAGTACTATGAGTGTGTTGCATAGCAGAGAGAACTTCAATTTTGAAAATTGATTAGACAAACGGGTGACCTAGCCAGGCACAAACTGTACCTTGTAATTCACAAGTTTGGATAGATTCTGCTAAAATTAAGTGGCTTCAACGTATGTTATCAGATACAGCAATTATATTCGGAAAAAAAATTATGCAGCGCAATCTTCATGTAAGAGCCGAGCAGTTCGATTAAATGTACAGTCCTCTCTCGTGATAACGGACCTCATTTTACCGGATTTCGGTTATAGCGGACAAATTTTCCAATAAGCGAAGTGTCTGTACGTAGCGGGAACAAAGGACTGAGTCGGCTAACTTGCGGAGTGTCCGCCAGGGGCGGGAACACACCCCGACGCGCGTTTGGTGCAACTGTGGTCTACTGCCGAGTTCGAGTATATTACGCATACGCGATCACAAAAATGAATTAATGTAGAGGGATGTGTTATACTAGGACCGCATTTTGAGGACCGCAAATACCCCCTTTTTACTAGAAAAAGACCGACAAATGCTCCATCTGCATGCACAGTGGCGCGCATGTCTCGTCAGTCTGTCCTGTACCGCGGGTCGTTTGAGATCGTTGTTGCTTTTTCCCTCGCTTATCTCTCGTGTTTACGTAGTGTTTACCCTTTTACTTATAATTTTTTGAATGACCATGTCATCCAGAGGCAGTGACGAAAGAAAACGTGTAAGCCTTACTGTTAGCCAAAAACTATAGCTAATAAAGAAGTTGGAGGCTGGTGTTAGTGTCAAGGTCTAGGATCACCCGTCCTCTAGCCTCGGAGTGGACACAGTCACAAGCTCATCTGTCATCTACAAAAGGTAAATAAAATTTAGTTTTTTTTTTTTTTTTGATATAACGGACAAACGGCTATAACAGACTGCCCCTATTAGTCCGTTATCACGAGGGGGGACTGTAGTTATTTGTTTTTAATATATTTGAAATAAATGGATTTTATTCATATCTGATTTATCTGGTTAAAATATACTGAGAATGATTTGTCAAGACCAGATAGCCTACTAGTTGTAATACCAATGGGCAGTACAATTAAAATGTTAATATGCACTTTTGTGAAGTAGCAGTTGCAACAACTAATACGTTTTATCACGAATTGCAATGCTGGATATTAAACGTTAACCCGCTTATATTTTGAATTTCTCATACATAGCTGTAATCAGCCTCTCAGTCTGTCCATCAGTCTATCCCAACATCCAATAAACAGTTAGTCGTGCTGAAAGAGTATACAGGTACTACTCAGAATATAGTGTGAAAGTTGTTTTATTCAGGCAATTCAACATAAAAGGTGAAACCAATACATTTTATAGACTCATTACATGCAAAGTGAGATATCTCAAGCATTTCTTTGTTGTAATTTTGCTGATTATGATTTACAGCTTATTAAAACCTCAAACCCAAAAACTCAGAAAATTAGAATACTGTGAAAAGCTTCAGTATTGTAGGCTCAAAGTGTCACACACTAATCAGGTAAGTAATCCAAAACACCTGCAAAAGGGTCCTGAGCCTTTTAAAAAGTCTGTGTCTTGTTTGGTTTAGAAGAATTCACAATCATGGGGAAGACTGCTGATCTGACAGTTGTGCAGAAAACCATCATTGACTCCCTGCACAAGGTGGGTAAGACACAAAAAGTGTCAAAAGAAGCTGGGTGTTCTCAGGGTGCTGTCACAAAGCACATTAATGGACAGTTAAGTGGAAGGCAGAAGCGTGGAAGAAAACGGTGTACAAGCCGGAGGGATGACCGCAGCCTGGAGAAGATGGTCAGGAAAGGGCCATTCAAAAGTGTGGGGGAACTTCATAAGGAGTGGACTCAGGCTGGAGTTGCTGCTTCAAGAGAAACAACACGCAGGCGGATGCTGGACATGGGCTTCAAATGTCGAATTCCTGTTGTCAAGCCACTCCTCACGAGCAAGCAACGCCAGAGGCGCCTTAGCTGGGCTAGAGAAAAGAAAGACTGGACTGTTCCCCAGTGGTCCAAAGTCCTCTTTTCTGATGAGAGCAAGTTTTGCATCTCATTTGGCAACAAAGGTCCCAGAGTCTGGAGGAAGACCGTAGGGGGTCACACTGCCAAAAGTACAAAATCCTGGTTCAACAACCATGGGATTACTGTGCTTGATTGGCCCGCAAACTCACCTGACCTGAACGTAATAGAAAATCTGTGGGGCATTGCCAAGAGAAAGCTGAACGGGAACAGGCCAAACAATAAAGAAGAGCTTAAGGCCGCGATTGAAGCATGTTGGTCTTCCATAACACCGGAGATGTGCCACAAGCTGGTAGCATCCATGCCACGCCGGATTAAGGCAGTCATTCATGCAAAAGGGGCCCCAACCAAGTACTAAGTACAGATGCAAGATTTTACTTTCAGAGGCCTGACATTTTTGTATTTAAAATCCTTATTTTAATTGATTTCAAGCAATATTCTAATTTTCTGAGTTTTTGAATTTGAGGTTTTCTGAAGCTGCAAGTCCTAATCAGCAAAATCAAAACAAATAAAAGCTTGAAATATATTGATTCGCATACTATTTGTCAATATAATATGTACATTTCACCTTTAAAGTTGAGTCACAGAAATGCATGCACTTTTTCAGGATATTCTGATTTTCCGAGTAGTACCTGTATTCATTGGAGTCGAACCCATTTTGTGTATGCCCTCTATCCTGCCGATAGTGACACCTGGGTCATTTTGTTTGGCGAATCAGAGCATGGCAGTGAGGAACTTGGATGAGGTAAAACACGAATAACAGCCACAACATCTCCCGACAGTCTTTAAAATTGGTGAAGACAGAAAGAGCACGGTTAGGTTCTCATGTGAAATAAACTGCCTATCTTGTCATTTGAAAAATACACGGTAAACTACATGTTTATTATACTGAACGCCTACTGCTATTGTACACGGAAGCGATGTATATTTGCACTGAAAAGTTGCCGGTGTTTTAACTGAACAACTTACGTAACCCGTTGCATTTCTGTTTTGTGTCACCTTCCTTGATGAAACTGAGTGTCATCTCAGCTCCTTTACTATAGGTTAGCATAATGTTTCATTCGATTTTAGGTTAAATAAGTAAATAAAATCACTGAGGTCTGATAAACCACGAAGGTTTAATTAACTCGTACAATTTTCACGGCGTGGATTATCGTTGAACAATAAACAATGCTTGATATAATTTATAATGTATTGACTACTGAGAGTTCGTGTTACTTGACCTGATGATTGCATCTGTTTTGGCATATTATAAGACTTGAGATCTGAGTTATTACTTGTGGGTTCATAGAGTTAAAAAAGCACAACTCTCCAAAAGCGTTATAGTCTCTAATTTGAGAGGTGCGGACTGAGGAACACTGGCTGAAATGCAGCCGTGCATTTCAAATTCAACAACTCAATTGTTGACAGTCGTAAGGGCAATACTTTTATGTGCGCCTGTTGTCCAGAAATAATTTAAATGATTTCAAGACCCATCCTACTCTATGTAATACGGTAACACTGGAGAAAAAAAATATCAAAGTCTGGTCGATAGGAATGCACGACTTAATAGAGGGTTGTGATGCACGTAACATACGCACCCTGAAAATAGAGTATTTTAATGAGAAACGCTCTGATTTCTATGAATCTCCACCTCAAACAGGCAAGTCTACCAAGCACGTGTAAAGGTTCAAGGTCAGAACACGAACAGACACTGAAAAGGCGCGCAGCGGGTCAAAAAAGTGCTTAAGTCGTGCTGAGCTCTGCTGAGTTTAAAATGTTTTGGAGCTTTATCAGTCTGGAAAAGGTTACAAAGCCATTTCTAAAGCTCTAGGACCCCAGCAAACCATAAACTTACAAAGAACTGCAGGCCTACATATCATCAACTAAGATCAGTGTCCATGACTCTACAATAAGGAAGACACAGGGAAAAATTGGGCCACAAGGAGTGGCAAGTCACAAACCACTGATCTCCTAGAAAAGCCTAAAAGTTCATCACTTGTTTGCTAAAAAGCACCTGATTGATGCTCATGTCCTTTGGGATAATATTCAATGAATATTTAATATTCTAAGTCCTACCGTATTCCACTGCAAGAACATTGCTGTGGCTGCACTGGGGTTTGAACTACGAACCTCAAGGGTCTCAGTCATGTACCTTAGCCACTGGACTACAGGCTGCCCCTGTTGTTGTAATTGTTGAAGAAAGCATGAATTCTGATGTAAACAAGAACATTGTTAAGGGGAATGTCTGACCATCTATGCGTGAGCTGAAGTGTAATTGAGTGATGCAGAAGGACAGTGATCCTAAGCATACGAGCAAGTCCCCATATGAATGGTGGTCACCTCTGGCGACTGGCAGGAAAAAAACTAGTCTCAAAATAAAAAAAGTTAGTTGTATTGGTGACCATTTTAGGCACCGTCTGGAGCCCTGCTAAACCAATTCACTTTGCTAGTGTGCACTCGCTGTGATCAAAGTTTTAATAATTTTTCATGAGCAAAGAAAATTGTAGTAGTCCTGTGTCACAATCTGCATGGGTGATCAAGAATGATTAAATTGCTTTTCATTTCATTGTATTTATTTAAGCACTGTACAAAGTTAGAGACTTGTTAATCGGTAAACATCCCCGCTCCCCCTTTTTTTGGACCTACAGTAGGGTGAGACGGTGGCCTTAAGTCAACCCACCCTGACCCTCCCCATCATCAGGCTTCTATTAAGCACATCCAGAGGGGTGATGAGAGGCAGCCAGGAGCTCATCGTGACAGCAAGGATAGCTTGGTGACAGGACACGGAAGCATGTTTGTGCATTTGTGTCAGCATCCTTTGTGTTTCCATAGGCCTTTGCTTCAATACCACGTAAACTAAAAAAACATCCAACATTTTGGTGCGTGCGCCCCTGTGCCGCTCCCCCGACAATGCCACCCTGCACGGCTGCCCACTTTGCCCATGCCAGGATCCGCCCCTGTGTTTTGTTTTCAGCATATTGGTCAGTGGTCAATATGGTAACTTTCTCAACAATGGAACCATGAACCAGAAAGATAAAAGTATGGTTTTACTCATGTTTTTTACCTTGCAATTGAGAATATATTAGTGAGTAAGGTTTACAATTAACTACGCTTCCTGAGAAAGTATGTAATTTTGCTTAATTAAAATCATATCAGGTAAGCTAGGTGTAATTGCAACTTGCTTTGCTACCAGCAGCCGCACAGCCACAGCACACACTCGGTTGTCATTTTTACAAGACTGAATGGAGTATTATTAAATATTGTATAATCTATGCTTTTGCAACCGCTTACATGTCCAATGGCAGTCGTTTTGTTGTTTTGTCATCCCTTCCTCTTGGTAGGACTGTTGGCCAAAATTAGTGGTGTCTTCACCATCCAGAGATAGGCCTAATTATAACAAAGTATTGTCATGGCCAGTACATTTTTCCATATAATCTGAATAAAGGTCATGATACATGGTTAACTTGTTAGGTATTTAAATAAAATAAAATTTAAAAAATTAAATTCCGACAGGGCAAGATGTTGCCGCAGGGACCCCCCAGCGAAAATGGCATTAACATTACAAACAGCACAGGATTTTCAAACCCTGACCCTTCCAAAAGGGCACTGACTTTGCACACAAATAGTTCTTTAATACCTGCATGGGCAGACCATACAAGCTGCTGGAAACTGTTTTTATTTATTTATTTTTTTCCCTGTTCGACTTTAGCACCTCTCACAGTCTAACTATAGTCAAACTGTTGCTTATCGTTAAATGATTCACACAGCTTACAAGTGTAAGCCTTTGAGATGGTGAGGGTTATGATAATCTAATATGGTGAGTTTACTGTCTCTTAGTTTTTTAACTCCCATGTGTGTTGTGCTCACAGACCAGTGCTGTAATGTTGTTCATTATGGTAGGTCACGCGGAGCAGTACGAATGGGCCCTGGCCCTTTGTTTTTGTTAATCCTTGCTTAATGACTTGCTTTCTTCAACAAAGTGTTCTAATGCGATGTGTGAAGGTAAGATATATCCTATTAAAGTTAGATGCTCTGCCTCACATCAACACACTGCAGCTCCTTACAGTTTAACCCAGAACCCAGAATGGATCCTGTAGCCCAAGTTGAATAAGCCAAAGTGCCATCCAAGGAAGCAGGATTGCTGTAGTGGATAACTGGTAGTTTGCAGATTGGAAACAGTAGTGGTTGGCTGACTTCATCCACACCAAAGGCGTTTACTCACTCTCCCAAATTATCAGAGGCATTTCAGAAATAGGAGTGACCTAAATGGGATTGTAAAATTTCTTTTCTTTATTTTGTCCAGGGTTGATTACATGTTGATGTCTTCTGCTGTATTTTTAAGAGAGATGCAACAGAAAACCTCACTAACAACTAGTATTTACCCCCTAAACCTACTTTTCAGTGTAAGATAAAGTCTGTCAGCAGGCTCAACTCCCTTCTCAGATTAACACCCATCAGGATACATCTGCTAACAAATGTAGCAGGCTTTCAGGCACTGCTATCATTATAGCCCCTGGTCCATGAGCTTTAAATAAAAATGCACAAACCAGCATTGAAAATAAGTTGTCTATAGGCAGAACATTGTTGAGCAAAGATGTTTCAGTCCAATCCCCTTGGAATAAATGGTAGATATTTTTTAAGTAAATCATAAATGATAAAACTGTGATGCCACAGGTTAGGAAAGTAGAAAATAGGGCTTTAAAATGGATTTAACATTTCCAGCGCAAGTTTATGTGAAACTAATTTACTTTAGCTTGGCTTTGTCCTGTATTGATAAATAAGGGTTTGCAAGCTGGTAATTGTAAGAACAGCATGTGACCTATGTATTGCTGGCATAGAGTGAAAAATGGCCTGTTTCATGTATTGTTGGCTCTGGGAGTCCAATTTTTGTAAGTGTGCATTTAAAATGTACACCATCGTGACCTATAGTAGTTCATGTTGTATAACTGGTACGAATTGAAAAATTAACCAGTGTGTGTATTATGTTGCTGTGGGTTGACACTCTGCATTGTCCAGTTATTAGTGGATTTTATGGTCAGAGGAATGGGACATGGGGACCACGGTTCGGTTTTCGGTGCAGCAGGGAAAACAAAAAAAAAAAAAATGTAGAAAATAAAATTTTTGTAATTTTATTTTGAAAAATTTTAACATTCAACAGTGGCTCCTTGGCCACAATTCTGACTGTAATAGTTAAGGCACTCTATTATTGACATATTGTGATTAATAAAAAAAATAACGCATGCAATAAACACAAATGTAAGTAATGCTCCATCATAAGCATCCTCTGACTTGATCATTCCTGAACAACTACAGCTTGTGCTCGTTTATACAGGGCAGGTACAATGGCCTGACTGAAATGCACACATGAAGGCACATTGTAGCAGACCTCAAGCACTTTGACCATATACTTAAATCCTGTATTCTCTACAACTGAGTATGGTCGCATATCCACAGTGATGAACACTCCTATAGCATTAGTTATTGCTTTGTCACAGCTTTTTAAAAAGCTGTTGATTTGGTATCAATACCCATTTTGTGTAAGGTGCAATGGTGGATTTATGATTAATAAAATATGCAACATAAACAAGAGTCAACAAAACAGATAAAAATCTTCTCTGGTGTTAGTGCCCCCTCTTTTGATTAAATCATGAAGTTTAAAATGCCATTGTCCAGCAGTCTTATACCTGAAACAATATCAGTCAGGCTGTGATATAGTCTGTTGGATTCCTGGATTGACAGAGCTGTCGAGTGTCCTGTGCAGCTGGTCTGGAGGTCCAGAAGGCCTTATGCTGTCTATGATATCCCCCAAACCCAGTTGTGCTCTGACTCAGTGCTGGACTCAGTCAGACACAGAATTCTTCCTTTCCCTGTCTCTGAACCAGGTAGTGTCAGTGTCTGAGTATCACCGCCGCGTCGATGCGCTTAACAGCGAAGACCTGCGTTCACTCTGCAAACGTCTCCAGGTGCCTAGTCCAGCTCCCATCCCCCACTCCCCATAGCTTGTCCCCAAGTCCACCCCCTGCTTGTTGTAGTGCCCTTCTCTAGGGCTAAGTCCCCACCTTCACAACAGCTACTCTGCTGTACCATTTATCAGTAACTTTCACTCTGAACCAGTTAAACACCAAAAAAAGTTACTGGAGAAAATTCCATGGCTTTTTGAAGTGGTTGCAATGGTAAAATGTTGCAGAGACCAAGTAGCACCCCACTCCCTCATTAATTTGGGGTGGTGTTAAAAAGTTTGACAAAAGAGTGGCCCCTAATATTTTAATACATTTTATTTAGACCAAATTTGGAATTTTCTGGCTGCCACCCCCCTCTGCCAATTCTAATACAACTGGACTCCCAATACTGTGCCCTCTAGTGTTGGGGATTGGTACTGCTTTCTCATGGGATTCATTGTGGTAAGACCGGAGAATGGGAGGCAGTATGATTGTTCTCCATATTGCAGGATCGTTAACTGAAGACAATGCAGGTAATTCAACAAGGACAGGGTAACTGGAGAGTGCATTCAGACCACAGAGCACCACTGTGTGAGCCTGCTATTGGAGTAAATGTGGGCCGACTCCATTCAGAGTTGCACCTAACCAGTACATTCATTGAGATGGTGATAAGAGTCACCTGTTTGTTCTGCCCTGCCTTCAGTCAACACACACTGCCTGCTGTGCTCACAGCCTGAAATGTCCAACTACCATTGGCTGAATTGGACTAATGCAAAACAAAAGCAGCATGGAAATGATGCAAACATCCAAGTGTAAGCATTTAAATACCAGCCTATTCAATTTAAAACAAGTTACAATGATTAGGCCCAATCTTGCATATTGATAACTTAATACCATTATTTAGTTCTCAAATGCTATATACGTATGTGTTTGTTTATACACATCTTGGATATTTGCCTTTGTTTGCTGTGCTTTTCATATCCGCTCTCCAATTTCTGATTATAGTAATTCCTCCTCTACTAACTGAAGCTCAGAAAATATGATCCTGCTCTCACTAGTTGATGGAGACAAAATCAGTACTGTATTACAGGAATCTGTGGTCCATTGCCTTTTTGTCCTTGTTCCTACCGCATACTTAATAATGTTGGACATGTCAGTATTAACATTTAAGCAAACCAAAAATTTAAAATGAGTTCAGTGTATGCTTTGGTTAGACACTTTTGCCCAAATTACGTCAG